GAGAATCTTGTTTTCTACCCCTCTTTGTTAGCGTTAGTTACTATGTCGAACAACTTGAGTATTGGAGTTATTTCCCTTTATTCATGGCGGCCACCGGCAACATGGCGGTAAATTCGGGTGAGTTGTTAAATATTCCATTTATAATCTCAATAAGTACGAAAATGTTCCCTAGGACACATTTTACAATAAACAAGTGCTTTATTTATAAATTTATCACGCTAGCTTATAGATTCAACTGATTTTAAAAGCTACCTACTCTATTTCTTTTTGGTGTCTCTGAAATGCAAACGAGTATGCAAAGCAGTTTCAATTTCAAAATTTTAGATTATGATTATCCTACAAATTTTCATTGATAAAAATTCTAGCATATTGCCGAAAACTTGTTAAAAATTGTGGGGAATGTTGTGAGAAGGGATAAAAACAATTCATTTTTTTTTTATTTATTTAAAACAATAAAAATATAAAATCTGATGTCATCAACGTCATTGTTCAATGTTTTTATGTCTAGATCTAGGTCTAAAATTTCTTGAAAAAAGATTTTAATTCAATTCCTGGTTCTGACAAAGATACATAGTACCGTACCAAATTCAGATATAGATAAAGCTCTGTTTAACTTTTAATTGTTTGTTTTCTTTTTGAAATCTGAAAAGCTGTCATATACTAGTAAGGTAAGCTTACACTTCATGATTTCCTTTTAATTTCAGCTGCTCGATTATGGGGACCATTCAGATCATTATATGAAACAGTTGATGCTGCAGTGTTTCAGAAACAACCTAATTCTGCCTATGATTTAGAAGTAGCTCTCAAAAGACATAAACCAGATTTCATTTCCCTTCTGAAAAAGCCAGTAAGTTTATGAGATATTCATCAATATTGTTGAAAGGAAAACTGCAGGTAGGAGGAGTGAATATGAAGTAACTCTAACATAAACATTAACATGGAATTTTGAGGTCAAGTTAGATGGACAAGTTGACTCTAATAATACTGCGTATTTTAGGGACAGACCAAGTAGATAAATACCTTACAATTTTGTATTACTTGATTTAGACCTTTGAAAACAGTAAATTTTGTAAAGTAGTAGATAATTATGAAGTAAGATGTACCTTACAACAACTTGACATTATGTACTTGAATGTGTACAAATTAAATGGATGTCCATCAAACGGTTATTTTTACTCAAACTACGTCACCATCTTTATAAAAATTTGTTGAGCCAATGAAATTCAAGGAAGAAGAATATTTCAACTCAACCAAATTGGTTGCGCTAATTCAAGATATATTCATAGATGGTCTTCTGACTCTCTACTGACGGCATTGAGAGACAGGATGTTTCTGTCTAAGGTCTAGTGTGCTACAATCTGCATAAAGATCCCTAAAGCAGCTTTCATGGCTGAATTTCCTGTATTGCTCACTGCAAACAACAAACTGTTCTGAAATATAAAGAATATCATTTTGATTATTTTAGTGAGAGGAATGTTTGAAGCTGACTTTTTTTTTATTGTAGGCTAAGAATAATGGAGATAGAGAAGCTGTTAAAAAGTCTGCAACAGAAGGACTGGTGGTTCAAGGTGAACAGAGAACTCAGACATTCTCTCAACAGTTTATATCAGAAGCTCTGATACTCAGTGATCTATTTGAAATGAATGAATTGGCAGCTGTAGAACTTTTAATGGCAGGTAAATGATGATTTGAACTTTAGTATTCCAAAAATATTTCCAAGAGTAATCATTTAATTAGAAATAATACCAGTACGATAGTTTTAATGTTGGGGATACAAAACTTCCTCTTTTTAGAGAAATTCTTTTAATTTTCTGGCCAGTGCTAATTTTGTTTATTTTCAAATAAATCCAAAATTGACTTCCAAAGCATATCAAAATGATAAAATCTCCCCTGTACTCTACATTGAAGCCTATGGTCACTTTGACCCTCAGCTATATTTTATCAATGGTTTTTATTCCTTTATAGATATCGTCCTGCATAAAAAAATTTGCTCGGATTCTACTTGGATCATTCTAGATGTAAAATGTTTTCAACTGTCATTAGATTTTTCTTCTATTATCTCAAACCACAATCTGATTAAACTTCAGATATATTTTATGTTTTTTTGTCTACTTAGCTATTTTGCTTTCAATATAAGAGTGACCTAGAATATGTGTTGTAATGAAATTTTGTCCGACCATGAATAGCAGATGGAGTTACCCACAGCAAAACTACGAAATTTTAATCAAACTGAATTACTCATTATTTTTTTATAGGAGAGAATCAACTACCGAATTACCCTGGATTAACTCGAGGTTTAGTAGCTGTATTATTATATTATGATGGTAGAAGAAGCTTAGTTAATTCATTAAGAGCATTGATTCAAGCTAGAGAAGGGAGAACATGGTCACTAGGTGTAGCACCAGATATTGTCAATTATATTACAAAATATACTGATGAATTGTTAAAAGATGGCATTGTCAACAAAATATTGGGTAAGTTTTTCTTATTTGGACTTTTCAACAGAATAACTGGGGGAAGAACTCAGTGAATTTGGCTTGACTCTTGAAAGGGTTTAATATGAGTTAACTCTTAAAAATTAAACTTGATAATTTTTGAATGGAAAAACTGTGCATGGATTTCTCTTTTTTACTCTTGCGATGAGTCTGTTGGTGCAATCTTGGAAAGATGGACTGTTGTTGATTGGCTCATTAATGAACATTGTGTTTAAAATCTTGAAAAGTCATGCATGTACTATTGGTGAGTTCATGTAAAAACCTGTTGTTGGGGACTAGATTTTCTAAAATCTTACTGATTATATTGTAGATGTTATCAAGCCAATGGATTTAACTATTGAATTAGATAAATTACAAAGAGAAAGAGCATTGGGAACACCGAAACATAGAAAACAGGTATATTTTCTTAAAGACAAGTATATAGATATAAGATATAAAGTAAAAAAAATTCAACACAATATTATTGTACAACATCTTTTAATTATTTTTTACCCAAAATTACTAGAAACTATATTTTTTGTTTTACATGGCGAATAATTTAGTAATAACATATTATACATAAGAAGTTCAAAATGTCTGACATTTTCATTTTTTTTTTTTCAGGTTACAGATATATTCAATGAAATCAAATTAAATCTAGCAGAATGCATTTTTTGTTTGGCCTGTCAACAACCATTGAACAAGTCTGATACTTTGCGTCTGCTTGCTCATTTAAAGGGGGACAACTCTAATTCTGCTGATTCTTCACTTGATCCAGTCACTCTGTGTCTGTTGATGGCTCTTTACTATTGTTTTGATGTCAGCATATTGGAAAAAGAAGATTCAGATGGTATGTTTATATTCTGTTGTCAAAAATCATTTTCAACAATCTCATTGAATCAAGACTAAACTTTCATTCGTTTTATTAATCGCTTTTATTTTTATGTAGCCACTCTAGTTAGGGTCTAAAGACGCTGCTCTTGAACATTTATCTGTTTGATGACACTGCCAGCCAATCAGATTTTAACCCTTCAATCCACATGTGAAAACGTTGTTGAATTTATTGTCCACTGAAATAAGTGATGTATTTCTAGTTATAAGATTTGAACGACATGTAGAAGCAAGGAGCACATATAACAAAACACAAGACAATATTATGGAATATAAAACACTTCTTTAATAAGGTTGGGCACATAACGTTTCAACACAATATACACGTGTCGTCATCAGATGTAATTTCTAGTTAGTTGGTAGTGAGAAAATCATGAAACATGAATTTTGTTTTGGCACCTTTATCAAGAGGAAGTTTGAGAATACAGAACCTACCGGACACTTCATTCAGGAACTGGAATTGGTCGTTATTATTTGAAATCAAAATGAATTGTTTCTTCAGATATAGTGGGGAGATTTCCATTTATAAATGATAATAGGTATTTGACTGATATACATAAAGAAATAACATCAATACAACAGTGGGATAATAATGGTATGAGGGCATCTCTACAGTTCTCCTGGGCCAATATGTTACGTCAACTTTCACAATATCCTCTACCACAAGGTAATAAGAATTGATTGCTTTACAGCTACAAACAGCCACTGTTGCATACTTAGCAATCTCAAAATATTCTTAACCCTTTGAACACTGAATGTTAAAGGGATTGTTAAGAAGTTTTTAGAAAATTTTATGTGCAGGGGACACTGAAAGCGTCCATTTGCACCATTTCAATTTTCAATTAGATGTCTGTGGTTCTTGCAATTTCACAAAATTTTTGCATTTTATGACGTCACTATCGCATCGGTCCCTTATATATCAATGGTAGTTTTTGTGACCATGATGTTACTTTTAGTGGAATTTCAGGAGCCAAAGGCGTCGGACTGAATATATGAATGGTGCAAATTGGTGATATCAGTGTATCTGATACATGTAAAAAGTTTTGAAAACCTCTTTACAATCTCTTCAAAGAATTAAATGCCATATACCCTGTTGATGTTTCATCTCAACAAGTTTTTTTCAAATAACTTTTATCTTAAGTTGTATCTGTGATTTTACTTTTTCTAGGTTCGACAGAAATATTTGAAGCAGATGAACAACTGATGGATTTGGCTATAGATGGTCAAGTATTCTTATTTCTGAAAAACTCAGTATTATCTGTTAAAGAATTTTTCCAAGAGGTAAATTGTATTATTGCTTGTTTTTTGTCAAGCTTGGCAAATACTGTTTTTATGCTATTGAATGATTAAAGATGGGTTTCCTTATTTTTTAGTGTCAAATTAAGCAAACTATTTGATTAATTGATGTTTCTTATGAATCATTGTGAATCATATTGTTATATTCTCATATTGCATGTAATTAAGAGTTTTAACCAATTATAAATGTCCTTGTATGTACAGTCTGGATAAACAAAAAAAGACTATTTGACCTTTCTTGATTGGTCACTCATTGGAATTATGCTGGTAATTCACTTCTAATTTAGCTAATTATGAATTAATTATGGACATGTGAGACAATCTGGTATTTTTCCAAGTCATTAGAACACCACTACTTTCTATTCATATAAGTATTAGCATTTTCATTTCATAAATGAAAATAAAGGAACCCATCTTTAAATCTAAATATCTTGTTCTCTTTCGGTATCCCATTTGTGGTATTATTTTATTCAAAAGTTTTGACCAAAATTTGTCATCACAAATGTCACAGACATCTGACTGAAATCTAGATTGTCAGTTGCTAAGATAAAGCACTTTACTCATGGAATTTCTGTGTACTTTTTACACTAATCTTTGTATTGTGTCAAGGAAAAGGGAAGTGTAGAGTCTAGTGTATTTTGCTTCGCATAGCCAATGTTATCAAAATCTTTATGAGCGATGTCTATTTATTTCTAGGAGTTTTATGTTAGAAGAATCCATGGTTTGATAACAGATTTTATTTATCACATGCCATTAAAGGTAGATATTATTTAAATTTTTTATGTTCATCGACACTGATAGCTTCAATTTGCACCATTCCAATTTTCAATCAGACGTCTGTGGTTCTTGCAATTCCACTAAATCTTATTTATGACGTCACTAGAGGGGAGCTACCAGAAGTTACTATTAATATATATGCTGTTCCAATCTAGTGATGTCATCAAGTGGAATTGAAAGAACCAAAAACATGAAAATGAAAATTGGAATGCTGCAAATTGATGTCCCTGATACACATAGAAAGTTTAGAAAACCCCTTTAAGAAATACATTGTGTGCTCACTTCATAAGACAGTTGTGCTTAAAATCACCGTCAGTGCAGCTGATTTAGAAATATCAATACAGCATATAGTGTTCCTTAAGCCATCTCAATGAACTGGAATGAGAATGTAATCCACTTTGAATATTTTCAATAGGTAAAAGAATTAAGAAATAGAGGAGATGAGACAGCTAGAATTATCATGGCTCACCAAAATGAAGGTTTACAATCACCCGATCAGAGAAAAGACTTTGAAGAACTTTTATCTTTGGTCAGTTTATCTTGTAATTTTTATACGCCCACATGAAATGAGGAGTGTATATTGTCATCACCCATGTCCGTCGGCCCCTGCGTCTGTCCACAATTGCTCATAAACACTCTAGAAGGCACAATTCTTGACTGAACTTAAAGAAAAATTGGTATGATTGTTTGTATGAAAAGTGTATGACTGAAGGTTGAATATCTCATACTTGTGATTGTTACTGTACTGCTAAATATTTTTATCTAAAATCAAAGCTGCCAGTGGGTGTATATTACCTTGTCTGACAAGCTATCTTGATATTTCACAGACTTTTCAATAGAGAACTTATTGCCCAACTTTTTGTAAAATTAAACCTCTTGATATCAAAATACAAAAAATGAATTGTTAAAAATTATGGTAAAAATTTATTTATCTCTGCAATTTTCTGTTGTTCTGAATTGAAATGAAGTGACTTGTATAAAAGTAAAAATGTAAAATGTTTAATACTTCAATTATAGATGGTAGAACTGTACAGTACAGATGATTTAAATCTCGAGTTATCATTAGATTTCTGGTGTCCAGCTGAACCTACTGGTTTACAAGAATCAATGTATCACTATAGACCACCCCCTCGACAGGTAGGTAGTCTCCATCTATTCTATTATTCACCCCAAGTCTTAAATTTGGAAAATTCACAAAGCTAATATTTTGGTATCTTCATTTTAAAAGTGTTAGATCAGCTTTTATCAATTTATAGATTTCCTCATTAATGAATGGTGGTTAGTATCTGGATTTATTGGTTCATACAAATTAAGTGAAAAAGACTCTTGGACATCATACTGACTAGTTACCCATGAAATTTCAGTGCTGAAAAATACATTTCATTTGATTAAAATAATGTCAGATCACCAGTTATCTTTATTATAAATACTGACAGACAAATATGATATTGTGTTTTGATGATAGGGAACATGTTTTGATACCAAATTTCTATAACACAAATCAAATAAAATATTGGTGAAATGACCACTTCCCACGTATACACATACTGTTTACTAGGGTTAAAGATGGGTTCCCTTATTTTCATTTATGGAAATGAAAATGTTAATACTTATATGAATAGAAAGTAGAGGTGTTCTAATGACTTTGAAAAACCAGTTTGTCTCACATGTCCATAATTAATTCATAATTAGCTAAATTAGAAATATTCCAATGAGGACCGATCAAGAAAGGTCACAAAGTCTCTTTTTGTTTATCCAGACTGTACATACATGGACATTTATGATTGGTTAATACTCTTAATTATATGCAATAAGAACATAATGATAATTCGTTAGAAGCACTAATCACATTGTTTGCATAATTTGACACTACAAAATAAGGAAACCATCATTAATGCATGAATTGTCTATTCTAGTCTTTGGCAAACTAGAAGTACTTATCATATCGAACAACAGTTATGCTGTGTCATTTTAGAAAAAAACAATTGCTGTGAGTGTAGATAAACAATTGTAAAAGGACGAGTTTTTAGTGAAAGATTTGATTTTTTTGTTATTTTAGGTGGCTTTATATAAGTTTGTTAGACTAGCAGGAGACCTATTACCAGCACCACTCTATGTACCATATATTAGAATGATAACAGGTCTAGCCAATAGTCCACAATGTGCTCAACACTGTTTCAATTTACTCAAAATAAATGGTATGAATGCAGGTAACAGCAATTTCACTCACAGTTTTGCACTAATTGATCACAAATTTCTAATGGGCCTCATAAGGTACATCTGTAGTTCTAGTTACATGTGTAAGTAAGAATTTCGCTGCTAACCTTGAAGGCGTTGGGGAATTATCTTTTTAAGTGAGCAGGTCAGAGTAGCTGATAAAGAAAAGCATCTATTCATTCAACTAGGGTGGCGCTCAATTGGTTGATTAGGAACGAATGTTATATGTCACATTCAAAATTGAGCATTTTTTTTTTATAATATTGAATTCTGTCTACACCGACTTATTTTCGGCACACATGGAATGTCTTCTAAACCCTGTTTGAAATTGTTTTCTCTTAAAAATTTTAAATTCTGACTACACCTACTTTGTTTTGGGCACAATTGGAACGTAGTTTTATTGTACTTCCAATTGATTTCATGTATCTCGAATGTGCAGATATCACCAATCGAGCGCCCCCAACATTATACAACACATGTAAGGAATTACATTGGAAAGTGGGTATAACTGACTATTCTGATATATCATTTCATATGGCCGTATCCTGGTATATTTTGTAGGAGGATCAGCTAGTATGGTATCATGGGATCATATCTTTATGTCATTAAACCAATATTATACTAGTTTACGTCGAGAACAACCTAATAGTATAGAAGCTGCTCATTCTTACAGAACACATCATACTAGAGGTATCTCTATACAAGAACTAGAAGGCATTATAGCTGTATTGAAATTAGCTCAGTGTATTATAAAACAGGTATGTTCCACAAAACTTCCTAAAAATTGAAGCACCACAGTTATAGAATATTTGCTTGCCAATAGATTTTAAGCTCAAAAGGAACGCCTACTTGATCACGTTAAAATTTTTGAGACTCATCCATGGTACAGCATGAAGTCATAAAAAGGGAATGACATAGGTAAAGAGACAAGAACATCATATCGGCAGATAGAACTGGACCATTCAATTTTTTGAAAGGCAGGTTTAAGCAAATAAGCAGTTGTTTTGGCAAAATTTGTCATGGACTATATAGAATAGCATGACTTTGTTTTTCCTATAATTGTACTTGATATATATTTTAAAGGGGTATTCCTTTTTTTTGTAAAAAGTTTTCATTATCAAAAACATCATAAATTATACCTGAAAATATTTCTAAAGCATGCTATCTATTTATATCTATGTATCTACTTGATCAAACTGAATTTGTTTTAAAAGGGTTAATTAAAAACTGAGAGTACTTATTATTAATTAAGTTCAATATTATTGATTGAAACCTTCAGAATATGTAGGAGAAATATTTCTCTACAATTAGGTGTTTATCTTAATCAAATCCATACAGTAGTTTTCTAACAGCTTCCAAAAATGCATGTTAGATAATGTTTTTAAATTATTTTGGCATTTACAAATTGACGGCTAGATTACTCTACATTTTGGTCTAAAGTTTTCACAAATATGAGCAAAATTTTTTCAACCTACAAAAAAAGCAGAATGTCCCTTTAAGTTTCAAAATGTTTTGTTTTAGAATGAAAATTGTCGAAGTGCTATATGGGAGAATCAACAATGGAGTGCTAATATATTACTATTTGGTTTAATTGGTTGTAGTATACCATCACTATTAAAAGCTGAGATACTGAAAACCTTATCATATTTAGCATTAACACCATCTATAGCTTCTAATATCTGGCAAACATTGGAGATATCACAAGTAAGTATCATTTGATATATTAATGCAGTGTATGTAAGTGTAATGTAGGGCTGCAACGATTCTTGAATTTGCAATTCGGCACTCATTCAACGATACGATTTATTGTGATAATTATCGCGGTTCATTTATTAATATTTACATTTCTACTATCACTCCCTTCAATAAACCAGTTAGCCAAACCGGCGTTTATTTTCCAATAACTGTAGTTTGTCACGTGACAATAAGGCGTATGAATACATCGAAAACGAAAACGAGGATTGACCCAAGTTTTTACCTAGAGTCTAATCTAATTTTACAATTTATTAAATTTACAATTGTTGTTAATATTTCAATGGAATATTAAATATTTGATAATTCTATCATCCAAATAAGACTGTCTATTTATAGAACTATATTGTTAGGGGCGGGTCGGTGAACTTGATTTTAGCGTATTTTATCACAAAAGATAAACCAATGTAAATATAAGGAATGAATGTGGATCTTG